CGCCTACATGCACCAACAAGTGACGGTGGGTCCATCAAGGTTCCCGAGGTACATGAGTTCTGGTGAAAAGTTTTGTCTTGTTCTGTGAAACCTCTTGCACGGTTCAAACTTTTAACTACTTAAGGCGAAACAACTACAGAAAAAACAGTTGCGATTGAAACATTTGTTATGGTGCTTCCCTTTGAGGTGGACCTACTGGTTGGCGGATTTCCTTGCGTGGATGTTTCAACCCTCACCACGACCCCTGGCAGCGTGTTGGATGAGACCTGCACATCCGGGAAAGGCTACCTTGGAATGGAAGGCTATGTCAGGAGGCACCGGCCAAGCATGATAATCATAGAGAACGTTGCATCCCTCTTCTACAAGAGGAAGGCTGAAGGTGGCAAGTCAGGGTATCCTAGCTGACCTTTCTTGTTTGCAAATTCTTGTTGACCAATGTTTACGCTACATCCCTGGAATAGAAATAATTCAAAGTAAATCTACTTGACTTGGGTAGATATTCTAGTTGGCTTAACAATGCACACGGACTATTCCTGTCGTGATACCCAACATAAGCACTATGCTGTCATTCCAACAGCCAGATTTGATTTGTAAGCCCCTCCAACCACGTCCAACCAAGGTACGAGGTCATCGAGGCCAGGCTGTCCAAGCTTGGCTATGTGCTGGCGGCTGACACCTTCAATGCCGCTGACTTTGGTGTCCCACAGCAAAGAAGACGTGCTTGGGTTTTGTGTATCCAGAAATCTGAGCTGCAAGGCTCTGAATCATTGGCCTCTGATATGAAACGGTTTTTTAGACGCTATGCGCCAATCTCGCTTTGTTTGGATCCTGGCCTGCCAAACTTCAGGCCCAACGAGAACCCATCCAAGAACGAAAGCAAACGTGGTATGAAGTGGCAAGAAGGGTTCAAAGAACAATGCCAACTCTATGGTGAGGAGGGGTGTGTAGTGGGCTAATTTCCCTTTGCGTTTTGAAACACTGTCATGGTCCTAACTTCCAATTAACCTCCACTAGGATTTGCATCCAGTTCCAGGGCATTGTTAAAACACAAAAACCAAAGCATCAGAATCATCAAATACAGAATCCAAAGCCATCATTGATGATATTTCAAGGATCAATGTGTGTATATTAGTTTTTGTATAGTTACACAGGTACACCCGACCCATCACCACACTGTTCGATTAAATTCCCTGACAGCCCTTTCAGCCACGGCTCCAGGAAGCGATCCAGGCGCGCTTGGCGGCCCTTCGACCTTTGGCCAAGACATGCAGCGAGCGGGAACTGACAATCTTAGCTTGTGCTGTTCAAGAGCTTGCGGTGGCCCGGAAGGTGGATGCAATGAGGGAAACTGTTATCATCCAGGTTGAACCTCGACATCCAAGAACCATCATTGTTCTTTTGGAAATATGTGGTCAGCCTTTAATTGTTTGATGTTTGGATTCTAGACCGCGTTATTGCAACATGGTTGGTTTCCTTTGAAAAAACATACCAATCAGTTTGAACAACATCACCAATCAACTTCAGGACCAGAACTTTGCTCGCCAGAACTATCCCCGATCAGATCCCTACACCTGTTCATGTCTCATCCCTGGGGGCAAGTATTTGGCAACGGGCCAAGCTGGATTTCGCCAACTGACAGCCAAGGAGAATGTTTTTTGTACTAAGTTTTTTAGTGGATGCTTTTCACACCAAAACAACTATAATGATACATTCTTATCGGAAAAGGGCCGAAACCACATGAGCAAACCCTAGAGTACCAGCCACCAACAAATTCCATGCCACCAGAAAGCTATAGCAATGAAGTCGACGTTCGGCATTCTGGTTGGTGTCCCCGTTCGCCAGGAGCTCGGTTGCCTTCAAGGAGTTGGGGGTGAGGAATGGTCCCATTTCAGGATGGGCAAGGAGACCGATGCCTTTATGAGAGGCTTTATTGGAAACTCGCCCCTCACCTGATTATGGAAGCTTAATTGACCTGATTTACAATTGCTCCATCAAGAGTTTTTGATAGAAGCAAGCGTTGTTTGAATGGGGTTCTGACTGACTCCTGACCTATTAAAAACAACAACCATCATGAAGTATATAGATGATCACTATGGTCATTCGCTCACTCCAAACTCATCAGCGACAAGTTGAGCGCTTCAGGTTTGCATCGCCTGTTCTTGTGGCAGCCTTGGTCTCGATCCTGGCCAACTGGGCGCCCAACCTTGATCAAGATCAGCTAGTCACACAGTGTGATTGGCGACAGTTTCTTGCGTCTTGCAAATAGACTTGTCCCAGCGACCCAATGTGATTGGAAGGTTCGTTGGAAATTCGATGAAAATTAGAAGCAGAAATTCACCCAAACCAATCAGACTGCTAAAATTCTGGAAAAGGCTAAACGCGCTTCAGTTCAGACTCGAGCTATGTGAGTGGACTCTTTGTTTTCAATTTCAACGTGCTTGTTGATTGTGAAAGCAGCAACATCTTGTTGTTGAGGTTCTTGTTGGGGTTGGGCAGTAAGCAGTCAATCAATCAACCATTGCTTGAAATTGTTTTTTCCCTCAAGCCTTGAACCCTCTGGCCCTGTAACGACTATTGCTCTTTCGATGCCGCCCAAAAAGCGCCAAAAGGTTGCTGCCAATAGCAAATACAACCCTCCTCAGAGCTTGGGTGATGTGGCGCCAAGCCGCCTGTCTCTGAAGGAGTGGATCTCGACGGCGTACCAAGGAAGGCATGGATTTCCTGACACGCTCAAGTGGCCACTCTTGGAGGGTGGATCCTTCCTAGAAATGGTTCAAAGAGTTTGGTCTGATGAAGACAACTTGAAGATCCACAGTTTGGAGATGGTCAAGAAGCTTGGCATCATGGACAGTGCTGCCACCGATGCGGATTTCCAGGAAAAGTATCTCACTATGAAGGACCCCAGTTTGAAAACAATGTAGTGTGACTCTGGTTCACTTGGTTTGTGATGACAGTCTTTATCATGTTCAATCTCAGTTTCCAGGATTCCAAGATCTCAGATACAAATAATTGTTTGAAACAAGTTCCAAATAAACCAGAAAATACTTCCAGGCTTACCCTCCGAGCGCCGGCTCATTCTTCACGCCGAGCATCCTGCAGTGGAACTTTGACACGGGGAGCTTCTGGCGCATACCAGATATGGCCACGGTCCTCGACATTGCCAAGTCCATTTCCATGATTGGATGGAAAGAGGCGGGCAAACCGGGAATGATGGAGTCTTTCAAGGTGTTTGCACTCAGAAGTGGGATCTAGAAAACAAACCAAGATTAAGGACCCAAGACTTTTGGACCACGGGAAAGGAATAGCTAGCCGCTTTGAGATGTTTTTTGAGAGGGTTGGGGTGGTGAGCTCTTCCTGGAAGAGCTAGCCGCCTCTAATGGAAAGGAATAGCTAGCCTCAACTGATCTTTTTATGTCTGATGTATTCTTTAAAGGTAAAGGGTTAATCTTTAGATTTCATTCTGATCCCAGGTATATCTGTCGGGGGGGGGGGGGTGGTGAGCTCTTCCAGGAAGAGCTCGCCGCCCAAGGAGTTGGGCCTAACACTTCAAAGCGGAGAGCAAAAGCACAGCCGAAGGGGGTGGTGAGCTCTTCCTGGAAGAGCTCGCCGCCCCAGATATGATTATGGGATCATCTCGCCGCCCCCCCTGGGTTTGTGGGGTCATCTCGCCGCCCCTCCCCTCCAAACATGAAAAGCTCGCCGCCCCTCCCTTCCAAATTTAATCAAAGTGCAGAACCAAGATTTTCTCATCATTGAGTCCAAGCTTCAGCCATCCGAGAGAATTTCCAAGATACCTAGGAACAGTTCTAGTCTAGTTGATGGAAACCCTCCTGTGTCCTATTGTCGTCATATCATCTACCATAAGATTTGAATATATATATATATATATTTTTTATATTATTGAATGTTTCATACTGTCAACTTCAGGAATATTGAAATGCTAAAGACTTCATTTACTATAGCTGGAAGATATGATTTACGCCATACACTTTGCTTGAAGTGGTTTCATTCAGGGAGAGATCTTGGGCATGCGTATGGATGAAGAGACCTCCAACAAACCGGACTTCCAGCCCTCCCTCAACCACCTTTGCTTTGATGATGGTGGCATGCGAGGGCTTGCAGGGGCATTAGTGTGGGCTGGTTTACTGTACCATGTCATGGCTTTGGATGAGGGTGAACTCAAACATCCATCCCTGGCTGAGCTGGCACGCAGCCTGTTGGCCATCCCGACTTTCTACAAGTCCCAGGGGGATGAGTCATCAGCTATGATTCGACGAATCATCAAACAAAACGTTGATTCCAAGAAGCAAGCTGTGAGTAGCTATGAGTGGAGCATGATCCTCAGCAACATGCCAAAGCCCAAGGGTTCCCAAGGAATTTCACTCCAAGATGCCATTGAGATGTACAACAGCAACCCGGAGGTCTGCGCACATGGCTCTGGCAGTGGCAAGGAGGGGTTTCTTGATGGTTTCAAGTTTGAAGAGTGCTAGCACCTTCTTCAACTTCACAGGTTTTGCTGTGTGCTCCATAAACTAGTGTAGTTTGAGGTAGTGGACACTTTGAAATTGCCAACTGAACTGGTTTACCTTCTCAACAGACTATCTAGCATCAATCCTTGAATCTCTGCTGCAACAGGACCGAAGTGGTGCTGGCAGCTTGTTCATTGATGGCAAGAAGCAATATGCGATCAAGCATTGGCTTGAGCTGACTTCACCAGATGCCCATGCCGAGGTTCAAATCTCCTTGAAGGATGGGGCTTTTGCTTTTGGCCCATGGGGTGAGCAACTTAGCATCATGAAGTTCTTATTCATGGATTCAAGTGCCAACCTGAGCCCAATCAATGCCTACCAGTGATGTGATGCCCGTGAACAATGAAGCCACGATCTCCATCAATTGGGCGCTCCCATTGACTGGGGAAGCACAGGGTTGGCTCTTTCACAGGATCCGGAAGGCCTTCGAAAGAGCTACAGCCATCATTGACCAACCTCAAGATAGACAGGATGAGCGAGGAAGACTTGTTTGCCATGAGGAATTTAGTATGCCTATGGTTTCAAGTCAGGGACTTCTGCTCTAGTCGCATCTCCTCCTTTGATGAGCTTGACAATGCCATTTGCACTGGGAGCACGAAGGATCATGAGCTGCAGATAATCTTGGATTGTAGGCCATCGCAGTTTGGGATCAGCATGCTTCCTTCATCCCAACGGGAGGCTTTGGAAGCAGTTCGACAACAGGAAGAAGGGCACAGCTTTGAGGTTGAGAAGGAACGCTTGGCCATTCGGGATGCCCGGTGGACCTTTTTTCAAGCGGCCTTAGCTCGAGACCAGGCAAAGTTGCGAGTGATCAAGGAAGCTCCTGCGAAGATCGATGCCCTTCGACATCGAAAGCGAATGCAGTGGAGATTGGAGCAGGCCAAGCTGGGTGAGAAGGTCATCAAGGCTTACAAGGACAAGTTTCTCCGGTGCGACCTGGTGAATAAAGCAGAGCTGGCCCAACAAAAGATCAATGAATTCCGCTCCTATGTTGTTCCTTGCAGTTTCTTTGGTACAGTTTTTTGTGTTTTGCCATTCAAGTCTGTTTTTTGCTAAGGTTCCAAAACGGAAACCAAGTAACATCATAAAGAAGAACCATAACAGTCTTGATTCTGGATCGCCTCTAGTTTGAAGAACAAGAAGCTCAGGCACAGAGTAGCAGTTGCAAGATGGATGACATCTACACAGTTTGCATTGCCGACCTCAACGTTCCTGGTGCCAAGAGCTCTGAGGCCATCAGCGAGTTGGCAGCGTGCATGCAGTTCGTGAATGACCAGTCCCCTGCTCATTCGATTGGCTTGCTTGAGATGCCGGAGGTGGCCAAAAAGACTAGCAAACGTGGTCTTTGCGACGAGGAGCAGGAAGTCCAGACATGCATGTGGTCCTTGAGACAAACATGCGACACCAGGTGGATGATTCCATTTTCAGTTCACCCTTCGGCAGAGTTGCAGACCAACCGGAGGCACACCATGCCTAAATACTCCTTGCTAGTCAGAAACAATTCCTAATCCACATTCCCCAGCAAGGAGGTTTTGGATTGGAAGCATGGCAAGGACAATAGACTATATAATTATAGATTCTTTTATTGACACCATACAGTGGCTACCTTCCAATGAAATGTCTGAGTGAAAGAAGAGACTCAGGTGTTTGTAAATGATGATGATGGATTGGACCACTGACTGCTTTCAATTTTGTTTCATATCCCAAGAGATCCTGGCAAGGCGATTCAACAGCGGGAGACTTGTGTGCAACATCGATGGTCAACAGGACAATGTGTTCCTAACAGCGTCTGAGTTGGGGACCTGTGGAAGACCTTTGACAGAAGAGGTCGTTAGCCTACCTTTGTCCAAGGACATGCTGCTACCTGAAAGCTTGAATTGCGAGTCTGACCTGAAGCAAGCTGAGCGTCAGCGTCCTTCGGCTGAAGCTACACAAGCTCAGAAGGGAGTGGGTCGGTGGGTGGCCCTACTTACCTCGCTTTTGAACGTCTCTGATGACACCTTCAAGAACAAACCTATCATCATCCTCAACCTGACTGGCTATGTCGAGGATGTTGGGGTGGCTGTTGCTTGGTTTGTCTTTAGACCAGGGAAAGGGCACGTGACTTGAAAATTGACAATGACACAGTATGTAAGATAGATATCCCGGATTAGGATATAGAATGACTTTCTTGATTCTATAGAAGCTATATTGAGCGACAAACACAAAGTTAGATAGAGCCTCGAGTCCGTGAGGTACCTCAAATTTTGGTTCAAAGCTCCATCCCTTGGATCCACTATTTGTAGACGCTTACACAAGAGTTACTTGTGCAAAGTGCCATTGTTCTTTGTGGGACTGAGTATTTTTTCAAACATGGACAGTCTATGGCGCAATACTCTTGACAGTTCACAAGCTGTCAAACAGGTGGAGTTGGCAACTAGGTTCCCTTCTGACAATGCCCAGGACATGGAGTTCTCACCTTCCTCAGGGTTAATTTGGGGCTGGGAACGTGAACCTAAGAGCGTTGGGATTTCTATGCAAATAAGCAAATATTACCTCCTTCCACAACCGCTGGCAAGCTTCTTCTACATTGCAAGGACAGCATTTTTCACAGAGCATGATTACTGAAAAGGTGTTTGTAATATATAGTTTTATTATGTGAAATCTTTGGTAATAAACAGCCATGAGAACATTGAACGACTATGTGGGAAACATGGTGGATCTCAACTAGCAGTATTTAAGATTGGAATCTCGCAAAATCTGTAAGTTCATGTCCAGTACTACAACGAAGCCAACTTTGATGAGTTGTGTTGCATATGCTAGTAATTTGTTTCTTATAGAAATGATGGAATCGGCTGTCTCATAGCCTTCTACTTCTACAGAGAGACTGCTCCAAAACCATGTCGCAACGTTTTGAGAGGTAGGGAAGGAATGAGGACCAAACAAGGTACTCCTGAAAGACCACCACCTTACTTCCTGTATGTGGTTGCAGCACATGCGGCACACAAATAAGTATTCGAGGTTGATGTCATTAGTTTATCTAGACGCAGTAGAACAAGACACCGCGTTTGCCTAAAGCAAAAGCAGTAAGATTGCAACAAATCTCTTAAGTCGGCTTGTATAGCATCTCTGAAACCTAGGGAAGACCCATGATGAAAAACCAACAACAGAAAGACCTTCCCCTGACCCCACAGAAGCAGTTCTTATATAATTAGGAAAAAGCCAAGACAAACAAAGAATCCAAGGTTTTCAACATGCGCTTGGGGAGGCAGCCGTTGAGGGGTGGCGTGAAACCAGAGAACCTCTACTACCAGAGTGTGGGTTGGCTATCCAAAGAGCCGTTTGGGCATGCGCGATTGGAGCGCGAGATTACGGAGGCATGGATCCAGCGCAAGTTTGAGCACGGCGGCCACAAATACGCTTGTGATCCTCCAGAGTTGACCCAGGCTGAGATTGAGGGCATTCCTTCGGCAACAGCGGCAATGGGAAACCTTGACAAGGTGGAGTTTGAGGTTCTGGAGCGAATCAACGACAAGATGATGAAAAAGAGTGACGAACATAAGTTTCTTGTAGGATCTTTAGTTAGTTTGTTTTGAGTTTCAGTTGTTGGCAAGGAATTTTGAAAGAGAAAGGACTCTAGTCTATGACTATGAAATGAAATGTTCCTTGTCTTTTTCATTGCTTGTCTTCCAATCAGGTTCTTTTCAGCGCAGACTGGGGACATCAAGAGTGAGTATGACAACCTTCGCGAGCAGCACCTGGACTTGGTGGGGCGTCAGGCTGAGCATCAGGTCAAAGCAAAAGCAGATGAAGACAATTCCCAGTCTCAACCAGTCCCTCCAGCAGCTGCTGGTGTGCAGTTGGAGTCGCTTGCCAAGCTGGAGTCTGACATTGGGGTTGAGATCAAAATTGCTTCCGAGGTGAGCAATGTGGAGCTTATCAAGGCCAAGGATGGGTCGCTGTGGCTGCTCAGTTCACAGTCTAAGACTATTGGGAAACATGTCCTTGTTGGCGGGTACGGAACTGGTCAGTGGCTACCTTCCAATGAATGCACAGAGCCAGCGGTTCCCTTTCAAGTTCCAGATGGTGACAAAACACCAGTACAAATTGATGAAACCACCTTCGGTCCAGAGGGAGCGCAAGGGGTAAGCACATTGAGCATCTACAAGCTGTTGCTTCGCGCTGAGACGGAGAAGCATGTGTCTCAGCACCGCGTGAGCTTCCTGAAGGTTGAACGGAAGCAGGCTGTGGAGGCAGGAGAGGACGGCTTCGAGGTGTCAGTGAGCAAGCCGATGGTCTTCAAAGCTTGCAAGGACCCACGTGATCCTGACAAAGTGACCTGCAAGAACGTGTTCAACAAGTTCATCAATCAGCTACCTGATGCCTTGGTGACAGTGGTGCGTTTCAGATTTGAGAGGGTTGGGCAGAATTTTAAGGTGCAGCGTCCATATGTGCTCACCTCTAGGGCACTGAGCCTTGAGAAAGAGAAGCCACTGAAGCTGGCTTGATCTACTAGCAGGCACTTGGGCAGCTCTGGTTGTCTGGTTTGAGTCAGATGCTTTTTCCATTAGATTCAAGCATGTTCAGGTTGATTGTGAAAGCCAAGAGCCTAGTTTTGGGGAACCTCGCCATCGCTCTTTCAGTAGCGCAGCAGTTGGGGTGGTGCTTTAAAAGGTTGTTGAAAGGTTGCTTTTTCTTTCCTGCGAGTGAAGAGCGGTGAGGAAAGATGTCAGTAGGAAAGCACAGTCCTAGGATAGGTTGACTGCAGTTGGAGCCAGTCACACAGCCTGGGAAAGACTTCACGACCTGATGCAAAGTGTTGAGAATAAGGCGAGCTTGTCCAGAGTTCTTAGTTTTCTACGATCAGACTTGCTGAGGATTAAGAGATGTGAAACACGATTGGGGAAATACATATTTTTTCAAAAAAGAACCCGCCTTATAGTGGAGCTTATGCGTTTGTTGGTGCATTGTTTTGAAAGTGATTCAGCTAGCAAGATTGGTTCAAAGATGTTCAAAGGGTTTTGGTCTCAGTTTCTACTTCTTACCTCTAGTGATGCCGCTGCCGTCGGTGCTGAGCTCAACCATGGAGCGCATGGAGCGCGTAAGCGTCAAAGAGATCCTCACCCTGTTCAACCTTTTGGTGAATGTCTATGAGCCTGAGGGATTGGCAGTCAAATGCGACTTCCAGCTGGAGAATATCAGGGAAGTCATCATGAAGCTCCGGTCTGTTTGGGCTGACAACGACTTGAACCTACAGATTGCTATGGACACTATACACATTTTGACGGTGATCAAGTGTATGATGTCCAAGTACATGATGGATGGGGGTCAAACCACCGATGACAATGTTTTCTGTCAGAGTGTTTGGGTTGAACCTGACAGAGTTTGCCAACCGCCTCCATTGACAATTCCTGAGAGTTTGACAAGCAAATTGAAGGCTTGTCTGAACTTCAAGGCAGATCTATACCGGCTCACCTTGAAGGAGGTGATTGGTGCTAGAAAGGAGCTTAAAGTCATGGCTGACTTATCGGAAACAAACCCTTCCTTGGCGCAGGTGGCATTTCGCTTCAATGCAGCCAAAGTGTTGCTTGATGATGCAGAGCTGGGGCTGAAAGCTTTACTTTTAGATGACAAAGTTGAGTGTGGTGATGTGGACACAAACCACTAGCTGAGCACGCCAAGCTGACAACTGGTCACCTGTAGAAAGAACCATTTTGAGCAATGGGCGGAATGTTTTTGAAAAAGGCTGACCACTACTTGCGCTGTGCGAGAAGATTTCAATTAAAGGGCAGTTGGTGAATTCAGACTGTAACATGCAAAGGGTTATTCATTGTGTGAGATTGTAAGTTTTTTGTAAGGGACCACGACTTAGAAGAAGTTTGAGTGATACTTCTTCGGACAAGTCTGAGTGATATGTTCAACCGCGATCTCGAGGTTGTTCGGCTCCAGCATTGTCGCTCCACATTTTTCCACCAGAATGGATTCTGACATCCAGCGCAGAATCTTACTCTCATACCAGACTAGCGCAGCTGCGGCGAGTTCGGGAACTTCAGATCAACCCCGGCTCCAGAGACTATCGACAGGATCAGGCTCGCACTTGACTTCTCCACCCACGACAGCGGGGCGGAGATCCTTTCTTTTGGAGACTCCAGAAGGAAACGAACCCAAAGACGACAAAGCGGAAGCTATCAAACAGCGCGGGAGAGGGAGAGGCAGAGGGCGTGACTTGGTAACATTGAGCACTAAAAAATAGTAAGTAAAAAATAATGTAACCTTTGACTTACCCTATATATTAATGGTTAGCTGAGACCAATCAAATCTTAAAATATGAGGTTTACCTTCAAGTATTGTCCTCTTTTCTGGGTGTGGTGGGGCTTGCTCACATAGGCTTGGTTAATTTTTAGTCTTAACCCCATGGAGTAGCCTAGGTGGTGTGATGAGGAGACCAGCTTCAGCGCCATCCAGTTCTCCTATGAAAAGACCAGCTGCAGAGATTGACCAAAACGACCAAAAAACTCCCAAGAAACGGCCAGCTGCCAAAAAAGAAGAATCCAACTCTAGCAAACCCCGGGCTAAGGAAACCGCTACACCAAAGGTCATTCCCCCCAAGAAATTGGATTTCGCAGAGGCAACGTCTCTACCATTGAATGATGGGCATGAGAGCGCTGAAGAAGAAGAACGTGAACATGATCCTGAGATTGAAGCCAGTGACGCTAATTCAAAGAAAAGGATCAATACCAAGAACATGTGGATTCATCCCAAGAACGTGTCTCCAGCAAAGCGCCCCGCAGTAAAAGGTGAAAGCCGGCGGGGAGAAATTGTTTCAACTGTAGACCTGAATGATGGATGGAAGCTCTTGACGCACAGAACTCCCACAGGGAGACAATACAAAAAGTGGCTTCATCCAAATGGAAAGGATTACTGGTTTTCTAGAGTCCAAGCCTTGGAACACGGCTTGAAGGACTGATTAAATGACGCTTGAACAGAGGCGTTTGGAGGACATGAGCTGAGCATGTGAAAAAGAGCAGCAGGTCCTTATTAGGGTAGTGCCCAATACTTCTACAAAGCCAAGCAAGCTTTCAAAGATTAGCAAAAAACCATCCACTGAAAGAACTAACTTTTGTGGATTCTCCTTTTATATAGTTTAACGTTTAAAGTTTAAAGGAGCGATTCACGTCACCTCCTCGGGGCTTCTGATTTAGCTGATTATCTGAACACGTTCACATCCTGGTACAAGCTCAGGCAGATTTTCTTGGCCATCCACGGTCATCTTTTGGTCGTTCATGGTTTGGGATGGCCATGAGTCTACATGCATGGAATGCCACGGACAAAACACCCAATCCGAGACACCCAATCCGAGCCCAAGTCTGGCGGTGTTCAGTTTTTCAATGAAGCTTCACCAGAACGTGTGATCAACACGATACCGTTCCCTGGCAGGTCGAATTTTGCTTCAACACAAAAGGCAGGCTAACCTTATCGAGTCTACGCCCGCAGGCCACACCAGTGAGATTGCAGGTTCCCTGTTGACATGGGTCATCATGGGTCCATGATGTTGTTGAATGTTGTTGAAACATACTTGGAGCAAATTTCAAAGCTCCATCTCTGGCGAACGCTTCTCTCAATTGACCCTGGCCAGTGGCAGCCATCCAGGCCTTGGCGGTGCCCGATGCCAAAGTCGCAGCCAGAGGGTTCCTCGGTCGCCCTTTGACGGGACGTGCGGGATGGGTCATTCCATATCGATATCGCAAGCTCGCGACGTCCGGATTCCCTTGGACGTTGGCACATGGGTGAGGCGATGTGAGCGCTTTCAATGGCTGGGACTGGTTGGAGCGTGTCACTGGTTGGATCACGGTTCACGATCTCTGCGATGCTTTGCATCTTATCCCACATGATCCACCTTGTGGACAAAAACACTGCCACAATTCCTTGTGGCAGCCCATGTTTGCCAACAAAAAAATAAGACCGGGGGGAAACACCGGCAGGATTCGGTGACACCATCTTCACCTGACGGAGTCGCGGCCTCGGTTTCTCTCCCCAGGATCGCCATGGCCATGCGCAGCAAAGCTGCCGAGGTCCACTGAGTCTGTCCACGGTTCCCCCCGTGTGGACCGGGAGAGGAAGCAGTTGTTTTCAACGTCCCATCGATTTCGGGGAGCCGGATGACGGATGACGGATGACGGATGTGGACGGATGGTGCCTCAAAAGGAGCAACCGGAGCATGAAGGATGGAATGATATGGAATGATATGGAACCTCCTCGTCAGCTCGAGAAGGATTAAAGGTGTAGTGGAGAACAGGGTGGCCGAGTGGTTTGTGAGATCCTTCATGCCCACGGATTAACATCAACCAATCAACATCAATCAACCAACCAGCCTAGAGGATTGGAAATCCATCGGTGGGAAGTCAGAAAGGTTGATCGGTTGATCAGTTAATATTATTGTTTTTGTTGGGGTGTTGAAATGGTTGTGGGTCTCCAAGGATATATATATATATATGTATAGGTCGGATATGCTGGGTGCATGCTTAAGTTCAACAAGTTTAAATTGTAGACTCGATAGGTTGTCTATTTTATCTACACTTGAGTAATCATCAGGGAATAGATGTTTTGATTCTTGTGATCACAAGCAGTCTCTTCTTAGAGATATTAACATGTTCAATCCCAAAGTCTGTGGTGGGTAAGGCTATTCTTTGATATTCCACGGTCTAATTTATCCTGTTGGAACGCTTGGTTCGGTGGGGTGTAAGGACCTAACATTGACTCACCAGATGGGGGAGGTGCTCAGTTTTTAGTCTTGTACTGGTGCTCAGTTTTTAGTGTTGTACTGGCGTTGACATTGACCTATAGATGGTAGATTCAATTTTGATATGCTTGTTTGATGTGAAAGCAGCCCAAAGAGCCACAGGCAGAACGCCTAAATACCAACAATCTGAAGACTCACAGACAATTACAACGATTCCAACTTCTCATACCAAACTCAGCATTCTGAGCCACCCAATCTATGATTGATAGTGGCACTTGCGGCCATACCCGCCCCAACAACGTACGGGTCAGTCACGTTGTTGTTTCCTCCAGACCGGTGGCCAAGGGAAGAGTTGAGACAACTCAACGTCCCTTGAGCCGAAACCGGCAGGAGTCGCGTGCTCCCGTTCTCCCCACAGACCAAAGAAACAAAAAACGAGAAACCGCATGGGAAATCCGGAGCCAGGTTCGACTAAGCGAACGAAGCACCCCGACCTCTGCTGCATCGTGGCTGGGCGGGTATTGAACAGCAGCCAAACTATAGCAGGATTAAAATTGTCACAACCCGCTACTGACATATGTAGACTCGTGGTTCAAAATTAGCATATGAAGCGGTTGTACATGGTTTAACATGGTTTTACGATCCAAATAGGTGGTTTCTATTTATCAAGAGTCAACATTATGGGTGTTCCTTTTTGACCCTCATGGCCCATTAGTCTTGGCTATTGGATGCTATTGGTGTTTATCATCCAATAACCATCCGAAATTC